GCTAGAATTGCTATGCTGTATTTTTTGAGCAAATTGCTATGCTGTATTATATCAATGTATATCATGAATTCTTACTAGAGGTGTAAAAGTGAAATTCTCATGAATTTATCTCTTTCACACGTTTATGTTGTTTATATTTAAATATGTTTGAAGAAATGTTTTATGTTTTTCTGTTCCGGAGGAAATAATAAATATTTGTACAATGTTATTGCTATATTAGTTATTCTGGTTGCTTCTGGGTTGAAACAATGCAACAGATGATAATTCAATTTGTTTAGCCAGTCTCCTTTGTTAACTGTACTGTAACCTGCATGGTGTAGATAAATTTTAGTAATCCAATATCAAATGATAGGGTTTTATCACATTGAATGTGCCTAGATGGTAGGAACCAGGTGGTTTCTGCTTGAAATGTCCAGGTAGATCACATTTTAAGTTCATATGACACTAGTGCTGTCAAATACAAACTAGAATTGTAGTCCTGCATCTCGAGATGTATAAATATCCATCATTCATGTATTTAGTATTTTAAGGCTCTGTATTTAGTAACAGCGAGCACCTAATGCCTGAAAAATGTTATGATTGATCTTAGTCCTAACTGTGGAAATACGAGTGTAGTAGATTAACTATGTGATGAATTCAGTGAGAAACTATTGTTGTCTTGTTTCATTTTGTGTACCATATTCTATTTACATTGTGGTATTTTACACATGGTATGTCACTTTCTAGGGCAATGCTTATGTCAACTATTGTTCCTGCTTCTATTTTGATCTTTGTTTTCCTCTTTGAAGCACATCATGAATTTACTAGTTTTATTGATTGTCATTATATAATTCTCATTACTACTTTGGTGGATTTGGATTGATGTGCTATGATTTGTGTTGTTGAACGAGTTTTCTCCATTTCTCTACGAAATGCCATGTCAAGAAGAAGGATATCGAAAGTTCTTGGGCCAGTATCTATGTCACGACAAGGGTGTGATCGAGGAGGAGCAAAGCGACAAAGTAGCGAAAATGCACGGAGATGATCCGTAAGTGCTACATCTACCTCGCCATGTTGCTATTATCGTTTGGGTTGCAATTTTACGAGACCCAATTTTGTACTTGATTAGGATGTGTTATCCTACATATTGTCGTCTCTGTTTAAGAATATGAACCTTGTTTCTCATTCCCTAAAGATAGTTGACTATCAATTTGTGATGATGTTCTAAATAATGGTCTTGTGTTTGTGGATGTATATATGTATATTTGTGGCGGTCAGATTCGAATTTGAATTATATATATATATATATATATATGTATATGTGTGTGGTCAGATTTGAATTTGAATTATTTTTTTTTGAAAAATCAACTGTAGGGGCGGTTCTTGATTGAACCGCTCTTACAAATACACACAGTAGGGGCGGCTGGTGATATAGCCACCCTTACAGAAGTCCACTACAGGGGCGGCTGATATTATCAGTCGCCCCTACAGAGGTCACTGTAGGGGCGGTTGAAAACACCACCAGCCCCTCTGAGGCTGCTGCAGGGCGGCCGAAAACACCACCCGCCCCTCTGAGAGGCACTGCTTGCGGCGATCAGAAACCGCTCCTCTGAGAGACACCTCTGTAGGAACACCTGGAAGGGCAGGGCACAGCCGCAAGCTCTAGAGCCCCCTCTGATTAAATTCTATAGTAGTGCATTCCATTGCAATTTCGTTCTCTCGATCACCCCCACAAGACAAAAAATTAGTAAATGAGTTCCCTTCCATGAAAGTATATAATCGGTTTCTATGTTGACAGTTTAATTAGACCATATAATAAAATTCTCTAGTTCATCGTACGCAACGACTATGTGTGTGTATATATATATATATATATATATATATATATATATATATATTATACACACACAGTTGCAATAATCTTTATCCACTTATTAGTTGACACGCACAGTTGAGGTAGCAGGGTTATTATCTTAGGTTGTGTTTGGTTTAGCTTTTGAAAAGTGCTCTTCTGCTAAAAAAAAAATAGAACGCTACATTATATATTAAAGAAAATAACAAAAATTATATATCTAGAAAAACAAAAAAAAATCTTATAATTTAGAATAACGAAAGTAGGATACAATTCCCTACTTGATGCCCATATAAATAGCCGAATATCATTCACTTGTATCTTGAAATATATATATCTGCACAGTAAGCATTTGATGATGATCGGATAGAACAAGAAACTAGTTTTTCAGGCCGTAGTACAATTTTCATAGCACTTTGTGCCGTGCAGTTGCCTTTTAGCTTTGAGCTTTTCCAAATGGGTGCAAATAAAGACACGTGGTTGTTTCAAGGAAGATAAAGAGAGATGGGAGGTTTCCTAATTGTTTTAACCAAACAATTTATTATTTTCCTTCTCACAACACATAACTCACAGCTCACAACTTTTCCATAGCTCATAACTGAATCAAACACACCCTTTATCAAAGTAGGAGTATTTCGAATCCTGGTATTATATAATAATTCACGTAGAGAGAACAATACAAGATGCCACAAAATACTTAGGAATAGCCCAATAATGTCACGCATCAAATGCTTACTGTGCAGATATATATATTTCAAGATACAAGTGAATGATATTCGGCTATTTATATGGGCATCAAGTAGAGAATTGTATCCTACTTTCGTTATTCTAAATTATAAGATTTTTTTTTGTTTTTCTAGATATATAATTTTTGTTATTTTCTTTAATATATAATGTATCTATAATATATATTAAAAACCAAAACATCTTATAATTTCAAATAGTAAACCTCCCGGCCGAGCCGGCTATTATAATTTATTTTACGGGCATCCGGAGCCGTTGGGAGCCCGCCAATCATTATCGTTGGGGCAAGGACCTCGATGAAGAACCTGCATGATCAGCGGCGTCCCGGCGCCGCCGAGCTCCAGTCGTCCGGCCGCATCCAGCAGCGGCCTCACCGCGAGGATCACGTTGAAGCATTGCAACAACAGCACGGCCACCGCCGCCGCCCTCACCATCAACAGCATGTTGTAATCTCGTGCGTGCTGTTGCAGCTGCAGACAATAAACAGGCGGCTCGCTCGGTAGCACACTTATGCAGCAGGTTAAACCCTTATGCATGCGTCGTAGTTTGCTGGTTTGTTGGAACAGAGGCAGCTTGCTTCCCTCTTATATAATACAGTAAAATATGTTTCGTAATTGACGCTCCGAAAAAGAACAAGGACCGGCGGCCAGTTAGTCGGTCATGCACCTCATACTTTTACAAGCGTTGTAAACTACCGTTCTCTGGTCTAGCAAAAGTATGCAGCAATGCGGTTTTTTCAGCGCTTGCGCGGTCCATTTTTGAATTCAAATCCCCCGTAACGTTTGAAGTCGATTCCATACTTACTGACCGTTCATAACGCTACTCGGTAAGTACTGGCCGGTCAGTATATGAACCAAGCGTCTGTGTTCCCTAAGCAAGACGAAGTTGGGTGCCTGCTTCTAGTTGATAGCTTCAGTCGTATACGGTTGGTTGGGAGAAAGTTAGTGACCGCCGAATTGTAGAGTATTTGGACTCCTTGCCTCTATAAGTGTGCCTTGTTGCTTGGGTTTGTGACGAATATAATTCTGGGTCCATCCAGGTCTCTCTCTCTCTCTTTTCGCGATCGGGTTAGACCCGTTTTTCATTAAGAGGAAAGAAGTTTTAATCCGTTACAGAGATACCAGACGATGCCAGCGAGAAGCCAACATCACGGCCTGCAACTGACCTAACTACCCAATTTCTTTTTGATATTACATTGGGATGTAATTTTGCGACCAAATATTATGACATAATAAGGGTAACGCCTAGGCGGCGCAAACGGCCCTAGAGACCCACTGCTTCCTGCCTGGAAATAGAACATGCATGGCCTCCCGTGTTGACGACGATAGCGGCAGCTTGAAGGCTGTCTGGAACTCCTGAAACGAAGCCTCGTAAGGGAGCTGTGTCTCCACCTCAAAGCTGGTGGCTTCCTGAAGGTGGAGATAAAGTTATCGACCGGCATCGGTTGCAACGGAGGCACCGGAGTGCGGATAGCTGCATCGTCGATGAACTTAGGGCAGTCGACGGGCCGAGGCGAAGTATCCGAGACTGCATCACTCCCGAGCTCAGAGGCCTCGACAGTTTGAGGCGTGGACAAGGGTGCCCCAGCTTGCTCAGGTCCGGCGATCTCAACGGATAAAACCGGAGACTCCTCCTCTAGCTCCAGCGTCATGAGGTGCGTCCTGAGAGAGTTGTGGCCGGATCCGCAGTCATCAGGGCCCAAAAGGCATAGGTCCACCGCCAGGGCCGTCTCTGAAATCTGTGGGCTAGCCTGGTCCCTATCAAACGCTCATCCGAAAAGGAAGTCAGGGCCATCACAAGGCCCAGTTGGGACACAGGTCACCTGGCCCATCATCAGCTCGAACTCCGCCTCTAGGGTAGACCCCACCATGCCAAGGTGACGAGTGCGAGACACTTGCCCGGCGCGTGGATCGATGTCGATGGAGAGAGGCCGTGCGCCGCTGTCGCTAACAACTTTTCCGTGGCGTGCACAACGATGCCTCAATAAGCATCGGGTCGATCGCTGCCGTTTGATAGGAGAGGGCGAGCCAGGGCGCCAGAGCGCGAAAGTCAAATTGGTTGTCCACGAATGGTTCGACACACGTCGCTCGTGTGGCGAAAACGGTGCTGACGCATCCACAGCAGGGCATGGCGCCGCGCGGTAATACGAGAGGGACATCAAGTCCCCGACCATGATGGCCTGCCACGACTCCTGTGTATGGAAGGTTAGCTCGTCTGCTCCGGTGAACCGGGTGGTCCACGGCCGTGACGATGTCGGCGGCGCCTCAACCCGCTTGAGCAGGGAGCGTCAGATGCGACGTAGGCGCTTGGGCAGAACAGGATCGCCAGCAACATTCGCATCACCGTCCGCGTCACCGCTAGAGGCATCTAGGTTCGCACTGGCCTGCGGCACAGGGCCTGACGTCTCCGTAGCCAGCACGTCGATATGAGGCTCCGAAGTAGGAGGCTCGCACACCGGTGGCACAGATGGCTCCCTGCTGGTGGAGACAGAGCACACAGAGGCAGTGTCCACCGGCGACTAGCGACCGGGCTAAAGCTGACACCGACGAGCACACTGATGCGACCGAGGGGCACGCCCAGGGGAGCAACCACGCTTGCCCACCCAGGGACTGACAACCGGTGCCTAGGGCAGTCGCGTGCCTGGTGGCCGACATCCTTGCAGGTGAAGCACTTGGATTGGAACGTGCAGTCGGCTCATACGTGGTCGCCGGCAAGGCAGTTGAAGCACTTGGCGATCAGGTACGATGGCACCGGTCGACGTGGTGCCGCGGCACACCGCCAGCGCCTCCTGCTGTGCACCTGCCTGAAGCCATCTTCGTCCGGCAGGACCGACATGCGCGCTGGGTGCACGACGATAGATGCTAGCCGGCGAGGGCGGTACGTCGGTGGCAGCCGCACGCTCGGCCCGACGCCCCCGATGTGGACGTGGACGATGGCGCCGGCGCCGGTGCTGCAGCCGCGACAGCAGAACGGCCTTACATCGTCCATACAATGGAGGCACGTCGGAGTCATTAAGCGATGCCTCCAAGTTGGTGAAGCGCTAGCCTCTCCTCTGACCCCCCCGGAGAAGTGGCGAAGGGCTCCAATTTGGGGCCGAGTGAGCTCGAACGAAGGATGAAGCTGGCATGAGCTGCCGCCACAAGCGGAGGTAGCTGCAGCATATTAGGACTCCCAGCACTCCGAGCAACCTCCTCCTCCTCAATTTCGTCTACCAGGAACGACGCGAGCAGGAGCCATCAACCCCCATGCTTGCTGCCCGCAAGAAGGACATGGCGCAATAGATTAGGTCCTGGGGAGCGTGGATCTGGGTTTGACAGGATGGGATCCAGGCTGGGTTGGCAGATCAGCGAGGAAGGAGGCGTGGTTGCGCCGGCATCGCCGGGTGGAGGGGGCGGGTCTGGTGGGTGGGAGGGAGCCATCCCTCCCCCAACTTGCGACATAGGAGCGGTATGATGTGAGGCCGCGGCGAACGGCTTGGCCAGCAGAGCGACAACAGATGACGACGGCTCAACCGGCAGAGCGAGACCAAGTGACGACGGCCTGGCCAGCCGGCTGCCCACCAAAGGGGCGGCTCCATCCCAACCACAGCCTCGTCCGGGGGAAGAAAACCCATCAAATGGCAGATCAACAAGAGGTAGGAGCGGATCTGTAGTTGGAAGAAATATTTTGGTTGGATCTAGGGAGGATTGTGGTGGATTTCGGTGATTTTCTGGAGGCGGCAGTCGAGCGCCCAAGGGGAATGGGTGGAGCACCAACGGCTCCATCCCGCCAGGTTAGCTCTGGGTTGACGTGTAAGTCTAAGTATCCCGGTCTCTCTCATGCCTTACTCGCTCAGGTTGGGCCTGTACCGAATGACACCGTTAGCTTCACCAAGTTCACAAGCGACTATCGTTCTCACTTGTTTACTACTCCATCCATCCCAAAATAAGTGATGTTTTAGCTTTTATCATATACAAAAAATACTAATGTTTATGATACTAAATAAGTATTATTGGATTTACCATGAAATATATTTTTATATTATTTCTATTTGGTGTGTCATAAATATTAATGTTCTTTCATATAAATTTGGTCAAATTTGGAATTATTTGACTTAGGATAAATCTAAAATATCACTTATTTTGAAACGGAGTGAGTAGTACTGATTTCTTCCATGCATTATTCGGTGGCGGAAGCCTTTTATTTTTAACCTTAACTGTTCCAAAAATAAAACTATTTGCAAATCTAACACTTTTAATCATGTCGTGCCACGTGGCGTCTCAAAAAAACATCATGTCGCACCACACACATTAGCCTAACAAGATGCACCATATGGGAGTGTATGAGACAGATGTGCAGGCGCATATTTCACATACAGAGCTTGCCACTTCACTTCACCTTAAAAATGAGAAGTTTTACGTAAAAATATAGCTCTCAACAAGATTTATGACTGCAGTTTTGAATTTTTAGTTGAAGTTATTAAGATGATTTTAAAATCGATCCAAACTCACTGCTACACACAAGCTTTCCAGAGGCAGCTAGAAAGGATTTGTAGAGACGGTTGGTTCGTCCGCCTCTACCCGTATGTCTCTAGATTTCTAGAGGCGCCTAGAATCGATTTCTAGAGATGGCTGGTACCTCAGTCGCCTCTAGAGGCGGCTGCTCTCAGTTGTCTCTAGAAATCATTTTTCTAGAGGAGGCTTCGCGCTTACTAACTGCCTCTAAAATCACTTTCAAAAGTTCTTTTTTTTGCTAAATTTATTTATTTTTATTTTGACTTCCACATTTGAAAATCTGGATAAAGAATTAGCACGTTTCATTGGATGCTGTATTTGTATGTTAAAATCTACTAGAATCTATTCTGTTTGGATGATATTATAGGATTCTAGGATTGTTTATCTGGATTCTGAAAATCTCCTGCGGACCAAACGGACCTAAGTTTACATTCAGAACATCTGGGCCTAGAGACACCGCTGGATTGGAACCAAAACTGTAAGGTCTGCTCCAGGCCCACGTAAATTTTGATGGGATCTCATCCGAACAGGCCTGGACTCCGGTCCGCGTCTATCCATGCGGGCATGCGGCAGAGCCCTCTTCTTCTCCCGTTCACCCCCACGCGTGCACTCTCTCTTCTCTCTCCCGTGGCGCCGACTGGGCGACCGCCGCCGCCGTCCTCGCCAGGTGCCCAGGTCTCCGTCGGGCCCTTCGACAGGTTCCTTCGGGCCCTTATCCGGCTACAAGCACCACCAGGTACGCTCACCCATTCTCTTCCGTTCCTGCTGTGCGAAACCGACCACCCAAACCCTAGCTTAAGCTGTTTGTTTTCGGATCTGTTCTAATTACAAGTTTATAGATGATTACACCTAGTAACTTCGATTCTGTTTGCAAAAAAATTCGGGTGTACACCCATGTCCTCTACTGCGTCCGCCCCTGGGTGTGGTGGGCATGGACAATGCTGGAAAAGAAAGGGGCGGCGAATTATTTTGTGTATTTGGTCTGGCTTGGGTTCAGAAGTTTGTTAACCTCTCTTTTGCTTTACATTAATTATTAATGGTGGGTTGCTTTCTTATTAACAAATAGTAGGACTGTCTTAAGCCATACCACACCATACCATTCTTAAATATTGAGTATCATTATGAAATGCTGGCATGGTTGTATATTATTGGGCCTCTTGGCATGTTATGGAAGCATATACCATTCTATCATTTTCCGTTTTTATGATCAGTCTAGGAATTTAAGCTTGTCTGTTTGAATGCACATGCCGCTCTGTACATTACTCTGAAGCTGCATTGTGCCATGCCGTCCTTTTCTATTTCATGGTGCCTGTTGTAACACCAGTTATACCTTCTCTATTCAGAGACTGATTAGGAGTTCAAGGAGCAAATCAATTCGTATCGAATATAACCAAGCTTACATGGCTATGGTGCCAAGTGATTCGTCACATCATGGAGTTGTGGACAATAGCCCCAATGGATGTACCCAGGCTAGGCGTGATGAAGCTAGGAAACTTGGTCCATCGTGGTATTTCAGTAGAAAGGAATTAGAGGAAAACTCTCCATCCAGGAGGGATGGTATTGATTTTAAGAAAGAGTCTAACCTTCGAAAGTTGTATTGCAAGTTTCTACAAGAATTGGGCATAGCGCTTAAAATGTAAGACAGAGACATTTATTTTCTTATATTATATATTGTTGGCTCTTCTTTGTGTTTCACTTTCTATAAATTCTAAGAACACTCTTTAAAATGAAATGCTGCTTTGATGTTTCCATGATGCTGAAGCTTTTCAAAATATGTATCTATATTAGCTTATGTTTGCTTATTTTTATATAGTCACTTGTGTGGTGGGATGCACATATCTACAATTGTTTGTGGTAACAATATATATGTATCTTTTTCTCCCGTAAATAGTTGTGTATCTTTGACTAAGGATGGTCATACTGTCATCGAGAAGAGAGAAATTTGCATAGCTGTTATTGTATAATTTGAATATTGGCATACTTGACAGTCTGGTATTTGAAAATGGACTGAGGTTTTGCTGGTCTTTGTTTATTTTTGTGTGCATGGTTGATCTTGGTTGTTGCTTGCTAAAGTATGGCATTTTCCTTAGTGGTTATATAATCTTGATGCAACTTGCATTGCTTCTGTGAATCCTTCAGTTTTTTTTTTTAAAAGTTTTATTATATCAAATGGATTGTGTGTTCACCAAGTTTGCTAAATAAATACTTTTAGCTCATCCGTTTATCTCGTAAAATCTACCTCATCTGTGCTATTTTTAGGCCTCAAGTGACGATTGCCACAGCAATGGTATTCTGTCATCGTTTTTACCTTCGTCAATCCCTTGCAAAAAATGATAGACGAGTAAGTGTTATTCAATGATTGTCTCTAGTTTTGGTTTTCAATGGTTGCCAAAATTTCCGTTAAGCTTTTAGGTTTGTGCATTGCCTTAGAAACTTTTACATTTTGATATAATTTTATTTTGCAAAGTTTCAATTATTTGCCTTTTCCATTTTGTATCCCTGACTACTAACAAGATCTTAGTAGTTGATATGCCAAACTACAGGCTCATTTTTCACATTTTCTCTTGCATTCGTGTTAGAAACCGAATTCTTCTAGTATCTAGTATGATGTGAACTCTTTGATAGTGAGATACTTAGATATAGATTTACTCTTTCAAGCTAGGTATCACCCTGTCAAATGCATTTTGTTTCTATAGAATAGGCACCAATACTTTTTAATCTAATATCCACACAGATAATTGCCACAGTTTGTTTATTCTTGGCTGGAAAAGTTGAAGAAACACCTAAACCTTTGAGGGATGTCATCTTGGTTTCTTATGGGATGATTCATAAGAATGATCCTAAGGCTAGTCAGAGAATCAAGCAGCAGAAGGTAATGGTTTAATTTGTCTCTTGTTTTGCTCCAGAAGTCCTGACACTATCTAGTTTTTTCCTGCATGATTATTACTCTTCAGCTAATATTGTTTCATACTCTTTACTTAGGAACTAGTACATTTTTTTAACTTTATAATTCATTGTGTCGTACACTTCTAGGATGTGGTTGTATTCTTGTATAGCTATTTATGCAAGAAAAAATTAGGTTTTAGTCCCATTTTAATATGTAGATTCAAATCTCGCTACAAAGTCTTAATGCGAAAGCAGTTGAGAACTTGAGATCCACTTATTTTCCTGGGTTTGAGTGCTCATGCTACTAATATCAATGCTTAACGGATTATGATGCTTAATAAACATTTACTTACAAAATGATGATGGCCATCAATAGCTGCCATTGTATGCCCCTATTATCAGCTTATGGTTGTTCAAATCATCCGAAGGTGCTATCTAAGCTGAACTGTCTAATCTTGAAAATGTCTTTTTCTATAAAAAAGTTATGCTCCTTTGTGTCGAGCACTTGAGCATGAACATTATGATAGTGTTATCCTTTTGTGCTTCCTGCTTCTGAATCTACATATGGACTTTATTTTCTGCATGCACCAGTTCATATTTGGTTAAAAAAAAGCCATTTATGTAAGAGTTGTTTCAACTGATATTAGTGCTTATTACTGCCTCTTGCAGGAAATATATGATAAACAAAAAGAACTTATTTTACTTGGGGAGCGAGTTGTACTTGTAACACTTGGGTTTGACCTTAATATTCACCATGCCTATAGGCCCTTGGTTGAAGCAATAAGGAGATTCAATATTGATAATAAAAGTCCACTTGCTCAGGTTGCCTGGAATTTTGTAAATGATGGGTATGCTAGTGCTACCCTTGCTGTTTTTTTGAAATTGCAGTTCACAGTTGTGTATCTACTACACTTAATGTTGTGCACTGTACAGGCTGCGTACTTCGCTTTGCCTGCAGTTCCAGCCTCATCATATTGCAGCTGGTGCTATCTGTTTGGCTGCTAAATTTCTCAAAGTGAAGCTCCCATCTGATGGTGATAAGCATTGGTGGCAGGATTTTGATGTCACGTGTCGACAGCTTGAAGGTTGGTCCTTATTTGCAAAGTTAGTGATGAAATGTTTCCACCTGCCCTACTTTGTTTATTTGTTCTGCATATGTTTTGATCGTTATTGATGGAATTAGCAGTTTAGCACCATGTGTTTGATGTGTCAAATTGAATTTTGTTCCTGTGAAACTTCTGGTTTTGAAGGAATGTATACACATCATAGATACTTATAACTTGATAACTTCGTGTTTTCTTTCTTTACTGCTAGCAGTTATTGACAAACTGCAGCTCCATTGAACTTATATTCAGGCTAAAGTAGGATCACTCTGTTCTCCACTGCATTAGTTAAGCACATTGTTTATTTTTTGTTAGCATTGTTTATAAAGATGAAAATATATTTGATGCCATGTTATCGATTGGGTTCTAGCTGTTTCAACTTTTTCATACCTTAATTCATTATATAATTTAATTTCCAAAACTTACTTTTTAGCCACTTTATTTAAATTCTAGCATGCTCAAACCAATTCATTTTTCTGTTGTAGTCTGCAGAAGAAAGTAGCACATTTTTAAGTTATTCTAAGAAAAAATAGGTACAATCGGAAGTGTACATTGTTATTTATGATAGAGAAAGGCCAAGAGGCTTAAATTACTTAATGATGAGATTACAAGAGGATTACATATATATAGAGAGAGGCTAAGCTAGAGAGTTAAGAGGGGGGAAGTCCCAGGCAACATGCCGGGAGTCCCTAGGCAGCACACTGGGTAGAAACCCAAGAGGCAGCCGATACAAAGTAATAGCTAGACGAAATAAATACTCACCCCCCGCAGTCGGAAGGCCCTTGGTGAAGACATCGGCGAACTGCGACGTGGTGGGAACGTGAAGCACACGGATGGCCCCAAGGGCGACCCGTTCTCGGACGAAGTGAAGGTCGATTTCCACGTGCTTGGTACGCTGATGCTGAACGGGGTTGGTGGAGAGGTAGACGGCGCTGACGTTGTCGCAGTAGACGAGGCAGGCAGAATCCAGAGGGTGATGCAGCTCCTGCAGAAGTTGCCGCAGCCAGGAGGCTTCGGCGACGCCGTTGGCAACTGCACGGTATTCGGCCTCGGCGCTCGACCGTGAAACAGTGGGCTGGCGCTTGGACGACCAGGAGATGAGGCTGCCACTGAGGAAGACAGCATAGCCGGAGGTGGAACGGCGGGTGTCAGGGCAGCCAGCCCAGTCAGCGTCGGTGTAGACGATGAGCTGAGTCGGGGGAGAGCGGGGAATGACAAGACCAAAGCCGATAGTGCCCTGAAGGTAGCGAAGAATCCGCTTGGTAGCAACAAGATGAACTTCCCGGGGATCATGCATGTGTAGGCAGACTTGTTGAACGGTGTAGGCGATGTCGGGCCGGGTGAAAGTTAGGTACTGGAGAGCACCCACAAGGTTGCGATATGCTGTAGGATCATCAACAGAGGAGCCGGCATCAGCAGAGACTTTGGCACAAGTGTCAACAGGGGTGGAACAAGGCTTGCAGTCGCTCATGCCATGGCGAGCAAGAATGTCCAGAGTGTACTGACGTTGTGAGAGAAACAAAGTGTCCTGTCGCTGAACTACCACGCCAAGAAAATGGTGCAGAGAACCAAGATCCTTCATGGCAAATTCCTTCTTCAGTGCAGCAATCACCCAGTATAAGAGCGGCTGAGAGGAGGCTGTAACAACAATATCATCCACATAAAGGAGCATGTAGACTGTCTCAGTGCCGCGGTGATAGATGAAAAGGGAGGTGTCGGACTTGGCTTCAATGAAACCCAGAGAGAGCAGATAAGAGGCAAACCGGCTGTACCATGCTCACGGTGCCTGCTTCAAACCATAGAGGGACCTGTTGAGCCTGCAGATGTGTTCGAGAAGAGCAGGATCGGCAAAACCAGTGGGCTGAGAGCAGTACACCGTTTCTGACAATGTCCTGTGAAGGAAAGCGTTCTTCACATCAAGTTGATGGATCGGCCAGTCCCGAGAGTGAGCCAGAGTGAGGACGGTGCGAACAGTAGCTGGCTTGACGACAGGGCTGAAGGTTTCATCGTAATCAACACCGGGGCGCTGTGTAAACCCCCGAAGCACCCATCGAGCCTTGTATCTGTCCAGAGAACCATCAGCATGAAACTTGTGTTTGAAAATCCATTTGCCGGTGACCACATTCGCCTTGGCAGGGCGAGGGACGAGATCCCAAGTGTGGTTGTCCAAGAGAGCAGCATATTCTTCTTCCATAGCCCGACGCCAATGCTGATTAGTAAGAGCGTCACGACAGGACCGCGGTAGCGGGGACAGAGCCTCGGTGTGCAGAGCGAGACGAGGCTGCTGGTACCCAGATTTCCCACGGGTCGCCATGCCATGAGAATTTTCGACGGGCGGGATGTGAACAGCACCTGCCGGAAGCGGAGGACCACTCTTGACATAGCGCGGTGGAGAGGGAATGATGCCGGAGCGTCGAGGAGGAGCCTCAGCGAGGGGCTCAGGCGGAGGCGGCGAGCTGGGTGCGGGGCACGCCTGGTGTAGACATGGACGACGGGCGGTTTGGTGAAGGAGGATGCCGGGGGCGCCTGCACAGGGGGCGTTGTGGATGCTGGTGTAGGGGCGGACGCCGGGGGCGCCGCACAAGGGGCGCCTGCAGGGGGGTGCCGTGGACGTCTGCGTGGTGACACCGGGAGGGGGAGACCGGGACGCCGGTGTGCCTGGGGCAGGGACCGAGGCGACTGACGGCCGGGGCACGGTGAAACCTGGTGGTGGCCGGGACGCCTGCGTGCCTAGGCCCGGCACCGGAGTAACCGATGGCACAGGTTGGGAGGGGGCGCGCAGAGGCGCAGGTGCTGGCAGGGGGCCTGTGCCCCCAGGTATACCTGCAGGCAGAAAAGAGACTGACGGGGGGTCGTCATCAGTTAGAAAATCAAGCTCGTGTGTAGGTGGTGAAGGCCGACGAAGGGAGAAAGGAAACGTTGTTTCGTTGAAAACAATGTGACGAGAGATGATGACGCCGTTGGTGGCGCGGTCGAGGCACCTGTAGCCCTTGTGATCTGGAGAATAGCCAATGAAACGCACAGAGAAGACCGCGGGGCGAGTTTGTGAGGAGTGGTGGCGGTGAGGTTGGGGTAACAAGTGCACCCAAAGGTCCGGAGGTCATGATAGGAAGGATGAGTGCCATAGATCGCGAAGAAAGGGGTGCTCATGTTTAGAGTCTTGGTGGGGAGGCGATTGATGATGTGGGTGGCAGTGGCAAGGGCATCAGCCCAATAGGAGGGGGGCATGGAAGCTTGGAAGAGCAAGGTGCGGGTGACATTGTTGGTGGTACGAATCATGCGCTCGGCTTTGCCATTTTGCTGCGAGGTGTAGGGGCAAGACATACAGAGAGAAACACCTTTAGCAAGAAAGAAAGCACGAGACGCAGAGTTGTCAAACTCACGACCGTTGTCACATTGCACAGATTTGATGGTGCAACCAAACTGAGTGAGCACATAGGTGAAAAAATTAGAAAGAACAGAGAAAGTGTCAGACTTTAAGCGAAGAGGAAAAGTCCAAAGAAAATGAGAGCAATCATCAATAATAACTAGATAATATTTGAATCCGGATACACTGATAATTGGGGATGTCCACATATCACAATGGATCAAATCGAAATTATGAGGTGCTCTCGACAAGGAACTAGTAAAGGGTAAGCGGACATGGCGCCCAAGCTGACAAGCATGGCAGAGGGAGTCATCATCAGGCTTGCTGTAGATGATCGAAGAGGACTGGGCGAGGCTCTGAAGAGTTGCCTTGCCGGGGTGGCCGAGGCGACGATGCCAAGTAGCCGGGGAGGGAGTGGCCACAAGAGCGCAGGAACCGGAGGGCGACGACGGGAGCTGCAGGGTGTAGAGGGGCCCTGATTTTCAGAGGTGAACTGTCGAACAGAAAGGTTTTTAATGATGTCAGGAGCTATAAGAATGCTGTTGAGATGGAAGGGACCAGGAAGAGAAGAGTAGCCGGTGCCAACGACCGGTAAGGTGGCACCATTTCCCACCACAATGGAGGAAGGAAAAGAGGAGGATGGCGACATGGTGACCATACCAGGGTGGGAAGCAATGTGAGAAGTGGCGCCCGAGTCGACAACCCAGTCCGAGGAACTTGGTGGCGGGGTGAGTGACGGTGCTGAAGGCGTTGGCGAGGGACTGAGGATCCCATGGTGACCATGCAGAAGGGGGCGTCGGGGTGGGCGTCTGGTAGTATGCCGCAGGAGCCGGGGGACAGTAAGCTCCAGGAAGAGGCATGCCCGTCATCAGAGCTTGCTGCGGAGAAGAAGGCGGTGGACCGCGAGGACCACTGGGGCCGGACCCGGGCCACATATGGATGGACCCGGTCCATGGGTTGAGGAGGGAGGGCCACTGCGATCCGCCTGGCGAGCCACTGTTCGAGCCGCCTTGGCCACGGCCGCCACGACGACGTCGGCCACGGCCATTACCAGAGAAGGCCCCCACGGCGTTCGCTGAGGACGCGGGGTTGCAGACCCAGAGGCCGGCTGGGAGGCAGGTGGCTTGCTGGACGAAGAGACGACGAGAGCCGATGGAGGTGCCATGTTGAGCTCGGCCAGGCGCAGGTCGGCGCGGACGTCCGCAAAGGAGGGAAACGGGCCACAGCGCGTGATGAATGCGACATGAACTGAAGCGCCATTGAGGCCTCTCGGATGTTCAAAGACAGAGTACGGTCATGGACGGGCTCGCCAAGATCGGCAAGGGCATCGCCCATGCCCTTCATCTTCTGGCGATGGCCGTCGATGGAGAGGCGCCACAGGAGAGAGTCGCGAACTCAGCGTCGAGGAGCATGGCGCGTGACTCGCGATTGTTCGTGAATTGCTTTGTTCAATGCCGAGCCATGCGGCTGGCGGAGATGCCGCCACGCTGCGTGGATGACGCGTCCGTAAGATCGGTGGAGATGGTGTTGAAGATCCAGAGACGACCACGCAGTCCATGCGGGACCACGCAGGATCGGTGAAGTGGGAGGCGTCACTGAGGACGTGATCCTTCAACGCGAAGCGGCCGAGGATGAGGAGGACGTAGCCGCGCCACCTGGAGTAGTTGGAGGACTGGAGGTCCAGAACGATCGGAATCAAGTTCTTGATGTTCTGGACAGCGGCAGCCTGGCTGTGCAGGTGAGCGATGGTCGCGGCGTCGGAGGAGTGATCGCCGCCGTCCTGAGAGCCGTCGTCGTGGAGGGAGTCCGTGCGGAGACGGTCCCGGAGGGCAGCGGCCTGCTGTTCCAGGGCGTCGGCCTGCGCGCTCTCCTTCTCGAGGGCGTTAGCGGCGGCACGAACGCGATCCTGAGCGGCAGCAGCGGACTTGAGGAGGTCAGCCTCCGTCTGAAGCTGCTGGCTGCGGTCGGTGTTGGTGGAGTGCAGGGAGGCGGCCTCCTCCTCCAGCTTCTGGGCGGCGGCGAGGGCTTCATCACGAAGCTTGATCGCGGTAGCCGCGGTGGAGGCGCCGGAGGTCGAAGTGGCCATGGGCGCGCGGCTGGGCAGCTTCGGGCACGCCGGCGGCAGGGAAAGGTCGCGGGCTGCGGCGGCAGGGAAGGGCGCGCGAGAGGTGAAGGGGCGGGCGCCGAAAGGAGCGGAAGCAGAGGAAGCAGAGGAATCGTTAGTCTGATACCATGATAGAGAAAGGCCAAGAGGCTTAGATTACTTAATGATGAGATTACAAGAGGATTACATATATATAGAGAGAGGCTAAGCTAGAGAGTTAAGAGGGGGGAAGTCCCAGGCAACATGCCGGGAGTCCCTAGGCAGCACACTGGGTAGAAACCCAAGAGGCAGCCAATACAAAGTAATAGCTAGAGGAAATAAATACTCTAACAATTTAGCCTAAAAAAAAGGGCTGGCCAAGTGAGGGACTTGCATTAGGCAATTTTCTGAACATGCTATTATGATATTCTGCCACCAAATATGGAGTTTGATTTTCCATCTCGTGAAACGCTCTTGTTCCTGTTGGGTATTTCTCGGTGCTATGTGTCTTGCTATATTAGTACTACCTCCATTCCACAAAGAGTTATGTTTTGGTTTTGTCCTAAGTCAAACTATCTTATGTTTGACCAAGTTTAGAGAAGATGATCAACGTTTATGGCACCAAATAGATTTACTATGAAAATATATTTCATGATGAATCTAATGATATTTATTTGTATCATAAATATTGGTTTTTTCGTATAAGCTCAGTCAAACTCTTAAGATTGTTTGATTTAGGACAAAACCAGAATTACACTCTTTGCGGGACGGAGGTAGTATGTTGCTGCCTTTTTTAGGTATATATGTTGAAGTTGTCTATAAATGGGATTTTGATAGTGCACACATGCCTACCTTAAGAGCTTTGCAATTAGTAACTGGTGAGCATCTTCTGATTTGTACTGGTGCCTTGTCACATACGCCATTTTGGTAAAGGGGGCAAATACCTTACTGTTTGATAGGAACCAACCGATAAACTACTCAAGTCCCAGCTACCTTTTAGCTGTTAGAATCTTATTAGTAGCCTCTAAAAGGATCAGCAAGCTTCTGTCCTTTTTGAAGCTGGTCTCTACTTGCTATGTATTGTTTAGCTTTGAGCCTTTGACTAGGCAGTACATGGCAATTCTTGTTTGTTATACTAATTATTATTTATTAACTTATTATAACAATGTAGTCTGACATGTGCTTTTATTTCTTGGGTTCTAAGTTGCATCTGATCTGATGATAAAACATATTCGTTGTCCATCATTGCAGAGATTAGCAGTCAATTGTTGGAAATGTATGAGCAAAACCGTACAACGCAGGCACAATCATCACAGGGAAGTGAAGCCGAAGGGAGCTCCGCTGGTGTGTGTAATCAACGTTCATCTGTAAAGTCTGAAGCAAATTCCAAGGAACCATCTGCTCATGGTTATCTTCAGGCATCCAGATCGCAAAATTTGCAGCATTCATCCTCAACAAGCGCTTCAGGTCACCATGACGATGGGCACCCAAATTCAGACAAGCATATTTCTGGCCACAAAATGCTGCAAAATGACAATGCCAACCATGGTGGCAGCAAAGAAAAGAACAAAAGTGGAATCAAAACTGATACTGGTATGGACAGATTGCACCGTGACAAAAAGTTCTCACCTGGACATCGTTATCCAGTGGAAGAACATCAACCACATCGATCGGATGATAATTCCATTGAAACAAGAGATGGTGTTGGTGGCATTGAAGCTCCTGTTGTGTCAACCTCCAGAATGGATGCAATGAATAAAATTGACAAGGATAAGGTAAAAGCAGCTCTGGAGAAGCGAAGAAAATCGAAAGGTGGTTTTGCCACAAAGGTAAATTTGATTGATGATGATGATCTACTTGAGAGAGAGCTAGAACAAGGTGTTGAATTGGCTGTTGAGGTTGAGAAGATTAAACAGGATAAGAAGCAGAACTTGTCCGATGGTAGCAAGCATCCACCAGACCTTCAAAACACTGACCAAGTAATGGAGAATGGTCACCATGTCAAGCAGAGTCTACCAACAACAGCTGAAGACATGGGCTGTCTGATGGACAGTAAAGAACAATGTCCTTCACCATTTGATAAGCAAAATGATGTTCCTGAGCACAAGTCACAGCAGCTTGATGACACATTGAAGCACCAAAAGGGCTATGACCATCCTCAGCTTGTAGGAAGCCCTGAGCAGGATGGACAAGACTATAAGAGACCTAAGCTCGACGGGTAGGTTTTTGGATGGGTTTTTTGGAAACTGACATGAATTCATTGTATGATGACGAATACATGTTGATGAGCATGTGTCTGCCTCACTGGTGCCTGAAGATGCTGCGCACAAAATTGCTGTGCTGTGGAACATCAAGATGATGTATCTGCAACTGATTGCAGTATACAAATTGAGGAAAGTCGGGCAGCAATATTTATTAGGTTCCAACAAACATTGGTATATATGAACGAAACATGCACTGATGCTCATGCTTCTGGTAACAGTTGCATTCATTTCTTGTATGTGATGTTCTGGTTAAAGTGATGCAAAGGTTTTGGCAAGGGCATGATGATTGTCCCTATCAAGGTCGCAAATATTCGTGCAGCCTTCCTTTCCATTTTCCTAATTAAATGATTTCCCTTTTTTTTTATCTCTTCACATTTTCACTTTTTAGAAGTTTATATATATTCAGATTCATATAGTAGGGTTTTCATTGAGTCATGAAATTCCACGGGGAAATTTTTGGTCACATTATAGTGCTTCTATTTATTTTAGGGCAGCTCCAGAGCAAATTTTGACTCACTAGATAGTTTTGACTCTGATTTATTGTGGTCTTAGGTTACTTAGGCCCTGTTTAACTTTCTTGCTACGTAGAGGAAGAGCCCTCGGGGACATTCTGCACAGTTGATAAGACCACGGATGCGGAGGCGGAGGCGGGTTTGGCATTTGCCGTACGCGTGCGGCAAGCTCGAGCAGGTGATTAGCCGCATGTGTGATTTTTTTTTCGATCATGCAAAAGGTTTGTGTGTTTTTTATTAAAGTAGAAAAAAAGTTTAATACAACATACCTTAGCAGCACCCTAGGTGATCAGAAGAGTAGTACATGGACGTTCGACCCTCCCTAGTGTAGGGTGCTGGCTAGGGGCCTATGCCCGTGCTGTCGAGCCGCATACGTGTGATTGATTAAGGCTGGATGCAGTACAAGCACTTGAGAACTTTGTGAAGCACGGCCAGCGGAGTATACAGCTTGTGATTTTAAATCACTTGAGGCACTTACAAAAGCTCGATCCAGTACTAAATCATGGAAATGTATAGGTAATAATAATATATTAGTAGGGTTTAGCACTCCGATTCTGTCCTTGTAGTAAACAAGCTACTAGTACATACTACTAGTTTCATTGCCTGCTGAACTTGTATCGATCTACTACTGAATTACAAACATCTTCCAAATAAAGAATCCATTTTATGTACGTGGAAATGGAATATACTCCGTAGTATAATTTGCAGGCCCACACAATGCATAATTGTGAATGAATGAATATATAAAGGAAACATCCATCACAGAGAATCAGAGGAGTAGATGCAGAAGGCTTGTAAACTGCTGGGTAAGCTAGTTTATGGTTGGTAGCCGATTTCGCCGACGCCGGAGTAACCGGGAACCCGCCAGTCCTGGTTGCCTTCCCCCGGTTCGCTCGGCAACGGCCTCGAGGCGAGGATGACACTGCAGCACTGGTGGCCCAGTGCTAGTGGGGGCACCGAGCACGAGCATCTCACCGGCCACAGACCGTGGGCCCAAGCGCGGCACCCGGCACACACAGCCTCGTGCCCACGGGGATCGCGAGCTAAACGGGCCTCGGGCCTTCCTCTCTCCCCAGCGCTAGTCGCGATTCGAGAGCCTGCTGGGCTGCGTTGCCTCCACAGTCCACACTCCAGCTGACCAGCTCTCCCATCCTCACCAGTCACCCCGCGTCTCTCAAACTCGAACGCGATTTGGTAGTGCTTCGCAGCTGGATTATCCCCGAGGCCTCCACTCTTTGGCACGACACGATGCGCACGCAGATCACCGGGTCCGAGTCCGACGACCAGTCGCTGCCGACCACCCCTCTCCGCATGTACACAAGCAATTGAAAAACCCAAGAATCAAAATCTTCCTGGGCATAGGTGACGAGTGCTTCTTCTCACCGACTCGTGCTCGACAGGCTGAGACCTGAACATAAATTCGAACTGCTGCTGATATTCTTGAATCTTGATCCATGCCAGAATTCTAAGTTATACCATGTGTCGGTGTTTTGGACTGACGGGTCCTCAACCAACGAGTGAAAATGTACTGTGTCCCTACCCCGGATGGTGATGCAAAGAGACACAAGGTTTATATTGGTTCAGGTAATAGGTGCCCTACGTCCAGTCTGAGAGAGCGATCTTGTATTCCTTGCACCGAGGTGCTCGTAGTAGGGGTTTACAAGCAGGGCGAGAGAGGGAGTTAGTCCCAGGTCTATGCGTGGAGCGGCGTGAGTCGCTTGAGATGTTGATCTCCTGCGGTGAGGCAGCGTGCGTGTTACAGCGTGTTGTTGCTTGCGTGTGTGTCTATCTGAGCGATGTCTCCGTGAGTGCCTTATCTAAAAACGGCCCCAGTCACTCCCTTTTATAGTTGAAGGGGGGGAGGCGATACATGCGTTTGCTACGTGGCGTTTTTGTGGGTGGAGGCGGTATGTCCGAGCCCTGTGCTTGTCACTGTGACGGCATGGTCGACGGAGTGGTCTTGTCTTCGGTGTACTGGAGCGACGTGCGGTCACACCTGATCCTGTGCGACGTGGGAGCTTCTGCGGTGGCAGGCGCGTCTTCTTCTGTTGGAGACGTGCTGGTCACCGTGAGCTCGTTCGCTGGTCTGGAGGAGACCAGCCAGCCGGCTGGTTCCCTCACGCGACACTGTTCATCCATCCAGCCAAACAGTGTTTTTCTCTCACAACAAACCAGCCGGAACAGTGTTTTTCAGCCAAGTTTTAGACCAGCGAACGGGGCCCGTGTGTTTGATTAGTGCGGAGTGTCGAGACCGGGTTGAGACGGTGGCGCGGGTATGCTGATTTCGAGGCTACAGGAGCTAGGCACTGTGCACGTCGTGGGAGCTCCTGCAGCCCGACGCAGGGTATGGCGCGTTCTGCGGGCGACGTGCCGGTCCCAGAGTGCTGACAACGTAGAGTGCCGAGGCCTAGTTCGATGCAGAGGCTGGGCCATCATGGGGGGGGGGCTCTACGGGCACGAGTCTCGAGGCTACAGGAGCCCGGAAGTGGATAGCCGAGGCCCGGAGGGAGCAGTTGGTCTTGCTCGTCGATTCCGAGGCTACAGGAACCTGGACTTGACTCTCCACGCCATGCTGTCCTTGGAGCAGGGGTTAGGCAGCACAGTGCAGTACGGGTGTCAGCCGTGGGCACAGTGCCTGGCACAGCGGCCGGTAACCCCTGCCCCGTCCTGTCCCGGACTGTGTGGCGTCGATGTGACTCCCGTCTCGTCGGCCACTCCGCTGTACTGCGTTGACGTGCGGCTGACGTCGCAGGAGTGGTTGGACGCGTTGGTTGGACGTGACATCCTGTCAGAGAAGTTTGGTCGAAGCGGCGGGGCTGATGCCGAGCCGGTCTCGAGCGAGGCGGAGAATCGGTACCTCGTCCGAGACCTTTCGGGCGGGGCCTCGGGCGAGGCGGAGAATCGGTACCTCGTCCGAGGCCTTGCGGGGTGGGGCCTCGGGTGAGGCGGAGAGTTGGTACCTCGTCCGAGGCCTAACGGCGTGGGCCTCGGGCGAATCGGAGAATCGGCCGAGGCCTCGTGGTTGTCTCTTGGCTTTGATTTTTACAAGGTCTAAGCAATTTTTTCGACTCTTGCTTAGGGTACCCCTTTTTATGGTATCCGACAGTAGCCCCCGAGCCTCGGGGGGAGTGCGAGCACTCTCCCTGAGGTTTTGACGAGACTTGGCTCGCAGCAGCTCCCGTCGGGATTATGTTTTGTGCTCGAGGCCTCGGTGGGTGCGCGCGAGCGCACCCACCGGGTGTAGCCCCCGAGGCCCTGGAGGAGTGGATTTACTCCTCCAGGGGCTTCTCCCTATTGAGTGAGGGATTTTATTGCGTTCGCCGAGCCCCTGAGTGCGAGTTCGGATCGCTGGGTCTTGGCTTGGTTGCAGGAGGAGCCCCCGAGCCTCTGCTCGGAGCAAGAGGGCGATCAGGGGTTTCCCTGTCTTTTTTGTGCGGCCCTCGCGCATCTTTTTTCGTTTGGAAGGAGGGGTGGAGTGTGCCAGGCTACCCTTGGTGGGCGCGAGCAGTGGCACCTCCGGTGAGCTGTTATCGGGTAAGTCCAAGTGGAGGCCCGTGCCCCATTCGACAGGGGTCGGCTAGCGGTCCAGAGACGCGCTCCAAAAGTACCAGAGGGCTTCTCTAGTGGGTCCCAGGGCCGCTCGATTGGCCCCGGGGGCTCAGTGCCTCCCTACGGTGGGATCCCATTCAGAGACCTCCCTGCCGGTCTCGGACACGACTTAGGGCATCCCAAGCAATTGATTGCTTGGGCCTCGGCCATGTACGGGCTCGCCCATAGTCATCCCTGACTCTGTTTGTCCTGGGGCGGCTTTCGAGACCCTCGGGGGCCTAGCCTTCGAACCCCTGGACCGTAACGGGCTCAGTGCCCAGTTCCTTAGTCTGAAAGGAATCGGCTGGGGGATATTCCCCTCCCATCGGTTGACAACGGCGGTCGCGCCTTTTGAGGCGGTTTCTCGGGGAGACGGAACGGTGCCTGCCGTCGCTGTGGTCGGATGCGATGCGACATCTGCAGATGGGACGTTACTGTGCCCGCGCGGTTAATAAGGAAAAGGTGGACGCGTGGACGGTTTAGTCGGATCCGGATAAACTGCGCTAGATCTGAGGGAAATTTCCCCGGTTTTGTCGCCCGTCTGTTTCACCCCCTTCCCTCCCTCATAAATATGTGACGAGCCTCGTCCCGTCCCTCCTTACCTTGCCTGCCTGCGTTCACCCTTTCTGCCCTCGAGCGGTTGCTAAGAATAGAGGAAGAGAGCGCCGGGGAGAAGAAGGGAGAAGGGGGAGGAAAGGCGAGAGAGAGAGAGAGATAGCGAGAGCACGCCTTATCGCCGTAGCCGTGTTCTCCACCACACCCATGGCCGGTGGCGCCGTTGTCCTCCAGGCGGATCCTTGGGGTCCGTCCGACGTGTCCGCGGAGACGCTGCAGTCACTCGTCGACGACGGTCTCCTC